CAGGTGGGAAAGGACAGTGCTTCCTGGGGCCTCCCTCTTGTTTCAGGGAAGGATTGGGATGAGTGTACCGCTGGGCTCCAAGGCCACCGGCGCTGCCTGCCCATCCACCAAGCACACCCTCATTTCTGCTCTTGCAATACCGCCAAGGTTCAGGGTCCACAAATATCTCAAGGATCACAGCTTGGACACAGTGGCATAGACTCTCATTCATAGCTGCAGTGGTAAGGCTGATGTGTAGAATGAAGTACGCTGTTGAATTTGTTTTTCTCTAATCTACCTGTAGGCCTCCGTCTTTGAATATTAGCGCATGGCAGCCTTGACTGGCTGAAAAGCCCTTTTATTTCCGATACTTCTTAAATATGCATCGAGAAACAATGGAGACTTTGCAGTTTAGCTAGATAAATGAGAAAAAAGGCAAGAGAAAGGAAGTGTCACTATCATGATCCCATTTTATACACTAACTACTGAGCAACAGAAATTAAATGACTTGCACAGCTGGAGATCACTGTCCACCTGCAAAGAGACATTTCCAGCTACTCTATCCATTACGATAGTATACCGAGCTTTATTTCAGTGAAAGTGTGCAGAGAGAACCGCTGGGAAAAGAATTTTTGGATCTTGGCCTAAACCCGTGGGGATGTAAAAGAGGAGGAAGGAAAAAAAAAGTGCAAATGTGTGCTGGACTTGTGGAATCCTGGGCTACAATCTATTTGCTGAATTATTTCTTGCTGTTAACCTGCATTTTATCTTTCTATGAAACACGGCATGAAGTAGAACATCCCTCTCCCAGCCCACTCTGGTCTCCCATAAGAAAGGTACCGTTAGAAAAGGGAGTTAATTTAGCTCTAGCCCAGCTTAGCACTAATGCCTAAAGTAGATGAAGCCTGCAGGCTGCAGGACTGAATTGTACGTGAGCTCGAGAGACATTGCTGAGGACGTGACTGCAAAACCAGCTAGAACCAGCCCTCAAAGATACAGAATGCGATGGAGAGAGGTAACGGTTAACCTTCGGATAAGATAAGGCACTGCGAAGCAGGAACATAGCAACCATCCCGGGATATAGATGTGAACCAAACAAGAGGAAAGAGACCACCAGTTCAGTAAAGAAGACTGGAAGAGACTGTCACGGGCAGACGGGGAAATAAGACTGTAAGGAGTATAATTATCCCAACATTTCTTTGTTCGGGGTCTATCCCCGGAGGCACCCAGCTCGAGCTGTTACTTTGCTGTACCATCATTTAAATAAATAATTAAATTTGATGCTAGATGCATGTGAGACTCTGCTCCTCGGAAACCTAGGGCTGGACTATTTCCATAACAATATGTTATCTCTGACTAACTCAAAACTCACGCATGGAAAATTCTATGTATTTACTATAATGTTCTATGTAGTAAGCATTGTTCCAAAACACTAAATTGCTAATAAGTGGTCAAGCCTACATTAAATCACATATTTTTTCCTATCCATTAGACAAAAATAAAGAAAGATGCAATAAATAATACAGTGGAAGGATGCCAAAAAAAGATATTTGTCTTCATGTTATTTTGTGGTTTACCACATCATACTGAAGATTCAGCATTATACCATGTTGAATGTTATATGAATTTGCCTGCCAGCATAGACCAGCTCCCTTTTCTTCCAGAATGGAAGTAGGAAGCAAATCCTCTCTTTTCAGTACAGATTAACTAAGAGGGGAAGTGGTTACATGTATGAGGAAATTAAGCTACTATTTCATTTATGGCAATCAATCACATTAAAATACGAGAAGATGAAAAATCTATTTCACCTCGATACGATGCCTCTCTGCTTTTCCCACATGCTTAGTCAGTACTGTTTATCTTTTAGACATCACACTTTACAGATTCTAGGAACTAACTTCTATCTTTTTCTTTGCTCACACTTCTTCAGTCCCTGCCTCATCCTCTTCTCCCAATTGTCAGCTTACCCCTGCCCTGCACTTGGTACTCTTTCAAATTTAAAATCTTGACCACGGTAGAATTCTCACCAAAGGCCAGAAGAAACAAAATGCATGCATGCTAAGTATACATAAATTTAAATAGTCTCTGCAAACTAAGTCCTTACAGCTGTAGGGGGCTGGCAAATGCCTGGCTATATTTATTGATGCAGCTCCTTAGCTAATCTGAATCACTTTAGAAAGTTTGAAGAACAGTGGCATAATGCAACAAAGGCTACAAGAATATAAAGATCATCCGTTTGGCAGCAGTATGATCTAGGCAGTACCATAAATATTTGCAAAGCAGACAGCTGGTCAAAAACCTGGTGCCAGCTTTGGGACAGCCTTCTACTTCTTTTCCTTCACTTTCAAACATAAAACCTATTTCTAAGGCATTCAGAAATACCAGAAATATGTTACTTTCTCTTTTCTCCTCTGCTAATAGACTTTCATTTCAGCCTCTCCAATAGCCTCAGAAAATGAAGTTGAGGTGCTGTTTGTGGTATTAGGCTGTTATGATTTTCTGTTATTTCTGCTATTAACCTGACCTCTCTCATTTTAGATTACGCCTTTCCTGGCAACACCTGTCTTGCAAACATGGAAACAGGATCGATAACCTTAAAGATATACAGATTAGAAGTCTATTAGAGGCACTCTTCAAAGTAAATCTTGTCTGCTCTGGTTGGCTCTTAAGTATTAGAATTTATTTTTCATATGATAAGGTTTGGGGCTACAGCCCATGGCTAATATTCACTTCTACCTTCCTCTTACACGTGGTGCACCAATGGTCCTCTAAGACATACTCTAATATACCCCTTAGATTTAATGCCACAGATACAGAGAAGGACCTTATCCTGTTAATCCAAGTCCATGTGTGAAACTTCTATTTCAGAGAGGACTGAAGGAGCTACTTCCTTCTTCTGAAAAGTTCTTTTTTTTTAAATACTAACATTGGTGAGACTTCACCCAAAAGACAGCAAATATTTTCACTGAAGTTATATTCATACATTTTGTAAAATCCAGATTGTATAATATAGCATGATGGCTCTGTTCCATTATGGTTCATTACTGCGTTGAAAACTACTGAGAGTGTACATTTTTCTCTTTATTGTTCTATCATTTCAAATTATGACTGCACTGCAGGTTAATCAGTGTAGTAAATATTCTAAGAACATTTATAGCCTAGCACCCTACTCACAGCCAGCAACATCTTCCTTCCCAGGTCATCCTGAGGCTTTACTTAGATACTAGTTAAGTAATTATGTTCTGCCGGCCTAAGGTGTCCTTCTAACTTTACAAATGTATTCTTCACTTGTCATGGACAGTTTGTAGTGTTGCTGCAGGCTGTGGAACAGCTGCCACACTTCCTGTGCATTCGGGTGCTTCAGCGACATTGGTACCTCTGTACAACTTACCTCAGTCACTTTCCAGACTCTTTAGACCAAGGGATAAAAGTTGATAAAAATTGGTGGTTTTCTGTTGATTCCAATATTTAAAATTAAATGTTTGAGTCTGTTAGTTTCCTAAAGAGTCAAAACTACTCATTGTTCAGCTACAGAGCTAACAGCTGACAGATTATCTAAAGCCTTTGATGTTGTTTCAGAAAGCAGTGTTAAAATAATATTACAGGAAAGTATGTAATCACTGATATTCTGAGAGGGTAAAGAAGGAAAGAAAGTAAAACAAGGAGAAATCACTGTAGGCTGGGCTTTTTAATCAGTAATTCCACTCTGAACATTTACATCCATATTACATGACTTAAAACAGTAAAAGGAATACATGACAAAGGATTTAATTAATTGAAGAAAACGTGACACTTCAATAAAAAGTGTTAAGTATTTTGGATGGCATAATTTGAGCATAATTAAGCATTCAGAATAAAGATAAATTTTAGCACAATTTCAGAAATGTTAAACAGTAAACAGTGATCCAAAGCAGAAAGATAACTCTGTAAACAACAGAATTGTATTAAAGAATAGAGTTCCATCACATAGCACTAAAAGTTCCGTTGTGAAGGTGATACGTAATTTATCTCCAAACCAACAAAATTACTCAAGATTATGTTTAGCCTTATGCTCAATAAGGACTACAGACAACGAAGTAGCAGCAGAAAATTTCCGTGCCCTCAAACAAGAACTACTCATACATCACATTGGAAAGAGGGAGAGATTTTCTAAAGTCTTGCACAAAAAGAGACAAAATAGAACAAAAAAAAATGCCCACAAAAGCAAAAAGAAATATTCTAAACCCAAAATAGATGATTCTGTGGTGGCTGGAAGACTCACTTCTGATTCAGAAACCTAGGGTCCAAGCCTCTAGTCTGAATCAAGCAGAGCTGAGCTCTGAAAAAAGATTTTCCTATCTCACGCAGTCTAAGCACTAGAGTAGTAGTTTTTTCTTTCTCAGATTTTGGCTGTGATTTTCCTTTAGGGCCTGCGAAAACTTTCCAGTCAAAATCTACATAACTGTTGGTAATTCCCAAAGAAAAACAGAAGCGTCTCTAATAGTTGATGACAGTAAGACTATTCACACTAATGTGTTTAAGTGAAGGTATGTGTTAAATAAAGATATCAATAAAGATCAGATTACTTAACAGTTTCCCAATCCCCAGGCTCCAAATTAATCATTGCATTGCTATATGTAATTGTAAATCAATATGCACAGTGATATCTGTGGTCAGATCAAAGTTAAGGACATCTTCAACTTCCCAAATAAGGATTCTCAGCAGTAACATACCAGATAACTGATGAATTTTATGTAAATTATGTCATCCAGATATAGAAAATCTTAGCTAAATACATGTGCTTTGTGATTAAATGAGACCTTTATACGAGGTCAACGTTTCACAAGAAAGGCAGTTAACTAAATTAAGACATTTTTATTTGAAACTGATGTGTACGTAATTGAGGCATTTTCTCTCAGTTAATCAACTAATGTAATTTTACATTCTAGTCCACCATCTCAAGCCATGAAAACTGATGACAAATTGTAAAGTTCAAGCATATTAAATAATAGTGAGTATTTGTCTATAATAGTGGTACTTACAGTAGAAATTATGTCTTGCTTGTGGGTTCCTCATTTGGTGATGTAATATTCAGAAGTCACCATGCTTTTGTTCTTAGATAAAGCTTTTCCTTTATGGCTCTCTCTAAGTAGTCTTCTGAAGAAGTCATTTCGTCATAAGGTATTCTCTTCTGAAGTGCATATATGTTCTGTTTCTGTATTTCCTGTCCAAAATACTCAATGTACATATAGAAGTAAACCAATGAGTTATTAGTTATGATACATGGAATTTACATCATGTTTTACATCTTCAAAGCACTTTACAAATGACAGCTGATTGAACAGGTTAGAAAACACTTAAAAACCTGAACCAAAATTACCACGAGTCCTTTAAAAGATTGGATAAGTGTATCTCAAAAGTTCCAGAAGGCTTTAAAAGACCACAGCTTCTCTACTATGAATGAATAGATCAAAATCAGTGTTCCCATTAATTCTTCCTTTCTTTAGTATCATTCACGTGACATGCAGATGCAGCATGCGGTCTCACTGCTGCTGAACGATTCCCACTACACTTTAGAGTCAGGTGTGCATCAAAGTAAATCATGCGCTCCATTCTTTAAACAAGGAAGACTTACATTGCTACAATTTATTTTTTAATTTATGAGATTCCTAAGTAGTAGTCACAAACCAAGCTTTTAGGCATCTTTTCTCAGCTCTGTCAATGGTCATTGATTAAGAGAGAGATAGAGTACCAGGATCTTTACAGTATTTGACTTTATCTTCTGTAACCTTTTTTAAATGTAATGCTTGATATCTCCCCTATTCATTCTTCTTCCTCATGGGTCATGATACTATGATTATTTCAATTATACATTTTTAAAAAGAACTCTTAGTTATTTCAGTTGCACACAGATGCCAAGTTCAAATGTCAGCGATCTGAGGCATACTCTGCTTTTATTTTTCTTAAATTCCTCTGAAAAATATATATAGGTCATACAGTTATTCCATATTCTGGAAAGTCATATCACATAGGAATCTTACACTATACAGTTATTCCTGTTCACCTACAGTTTAAACAGTGAGCTGTTTCAATGTTAGACTATGCTGAACCTGCAGAAACTGGTCTCTCTGTTAAAATACTTGTGAAAATGTAATTGTCATAATTGACACCTAATAAAATGCAGCCACATAATACTACTTTAAGTAATGAAGTGATATAACAGTCATATAATCTTATTCTGTAATTTCTGATATATAATATTAAATATTTGAATATATAGGCTTTTTTAGGATAATGAGTGTAATTATATCTGTTAAATATTGTGTTATAATCCACTTGCAAATATAGACATCTATCTGCAAACAAAAGAATGTTATGTTCAGTAAAGGAAAATCTGGTTTGACCCCTGGGACTCTGACTTGCAGCCAGACGTTTCTGCATACTTGATTTCTGATTCACTACTTATAATTCTGTATCTTTTATGGCCAATTGATGAACTCCTCTAGACAAAGAGAAAGCCATCTGAAAACACTTCATCTGAAGGATGTGTTGCAGGGAACTCAATCCCACTCTTATGCAATTGAAAGGGAATGTTTTTCATTTCACAGGTTGGTAAGATGGGCCCAGTATCTGGTAACAGACCCCTATGTGACAGCATTAAAGCAATTACAGTGCTTATGGCCAGCGATATGATTTCATTTTTTAATGAAAAAACCTCATAAGACCTCTTATTATGGAGATGTGCTTTATCTGAGTCACTGTGGTAGATACTTCCACAGTTTCACATAACTATCTCTCACAACTTTCCACTAGGAGCTCTAAAATATTTAATATTTTGCTTAAAGCCCTGATATCTAAAGTCAAGGAAATATTTTCAAACCCCAGGCTTTTTTCTTTGATTTCTTGACCTTTTGTTTGCAGTGAAGAGCTGGAAATGTGAATTGCAACTGACAAAGGCGAAATAAAACAAGACCCTGACAGTATTTCTGATTAACTGTAAGACTATACTTACCAAGAATGTGACAGCTAAGCTTTTGAACAGCTAAAGTGAAGATGTAGATATTTTACATTTTATAGGAAAATCTGTCTTGTAGCAAAACTATTGCTATAACTACCCGTTATTTGCTAACATGCATTAGTGTAAGGAGCTCTGTAAATTAGAGACAATTTTTTATTTCTGTGTGTTCAAAGTAAAGGATCCCAACTTTGCTGAAAGCAATTGCCATTTTATGTAACAGTTCTGATCCACAATGTTCCTATGCTCCCACTTACTGTTTGAAGTGATACAGATTTTTGATCCAGCTTTCTGTCTCTCTGTGAAAAACAAACATTCAAATGTTGCCATTGAAGAAGCAACAAGAATCTATCCCACATAAAACTAAGCATCAGGAATTTTAAGTCAAAAATAAGGAAGAAGTTATTGGAATCATACAAAGTATCACAGATGTTCAAAACAAGCCTGACACTGTGATCTAAGAGTATAAATTATCAGGAGAGATTTTCCATATACCATGTGTTTCTGCTCTAATTCTGTTTTGATTGCTTGGCTCCTTCTTTTTCTTTCCAAGTGAAAACATTTTCCTGGTGTGCATGTCTAGGAAAACACTTTCAGATGATCAGTTCTCTTTATTTAAGCCATTTTTGATCATTTGGTTCTTATGCAAGCACATAAATTGCCTGTTCTTATTTCTGTAAATTGTGTAATTCACTTCTGTGAGCAACTGCCACAACTCTCTATGTAAATCTAGAGCAACTGCACCTGCAGACTGACGATAATTAGGAATGTATTAAATGAATTCACTTAATAGACATCCACTGCAGATAATGAAGCTCTTCTAGTTTAAATCTGGGATGGAGAAAGATTCAGGCTTTGTAATTCAGACTAATTATCAGGCTTTCTTGAAATTCCTAGATGAATGGGAATTCTGCTTGAGTTATCCATTAAGAATCAGGACATATCAAATTGTTTTCTTTGACCAAACAGTGCAAATCTCACTTGTAGTCCAAGACATTCTTAATTGTCACATCATGCCTCTCACATTCTGCAACCTTCAGTTGCTTACATTTTCTAGAGACTGAAAATATTACAGCTAGTAGATACTATACTAATTTCCATTTTGTCCTCACTATCCCTCTCCTTTCTTTCCTCTACCCACTTCTCTCCAACCCTGTCCCCAAAATTATTTTTCAGCCCCTCTTCAGACTCTGCTTTAGAATGCATTTATATCGCCTGGCCCAGAAGGTCTTCACATCAGACAGGACCATTTTTCATTAAAAATATTAATAACTAGTTCCATAATTTTATCTTGCTTTATGAAATGGTTTTGGTATTTCTTTTGCTTGATTCCATGTTTAGACCACTTATCTGTGTTTTTTCCCTGTGTGTTTGCAATTTGCAGTTGTGAATGTATTCTCCAAAGGTCTGAATTATTCATTTGAATACAGTTTCACAACACTCTTAAACCCTCACAACGTCACTAGCTTTTTTTCCTTTCCACCAAAAAACTCATCCATAAATGCCAAGTTTGTCTTTTTGATTGAATTTTAAATTATGGAAATACAGTTAATTTTGAATGGTTTCCCATAAACGCATCTCTCTCTTATGCATTGCCTGATACATTAGAAATCTACGCATTCAAGTATAGTAGCAATAAACACCTGACCTTGGAATAGACCCCAGAAGCATTTTCCCTAATAGTAGTTGTCATCCTGCCATCAGGCAGTTTTTATTGAGTTATACTAGCTGATAGAAGACAGCATAAGAAAACATCCAAAGTTTCAAGAGCCTTTTTGGTGTTCCACCCTCAAACATAAACCTGTTGACATTTTATAACAAATAAAATAAATTACTCCAATTGCCCTTCTCTCAAGTAGGTAATAATTTCCTGTTTACAAAGCTCAACAGAGTTCAGATCCTTGTCTCACACCTAAGCCATGGCAAACTACAAAAAAAAAACAGGAGCAGGAAACTTGCTTGTCCCTTCTCACATCACAAGACAATTAACACCAGCGAGTCACTATAAATGCTGGGCTGAAGACATCCACCTACTTCCGTAGCTGGAGTAACGGGCCTCAATTCCAGTACCTGAGAACATGGCCCATGTCCAAATGTAGCCCAAGTTCAAACCTCCTGCAGGGACAAAATTCCCTTGAGGTTGACTGTTGCTGCCTGGCTCTGGCCGTGAGCTCCCAGCACGGCTTGGTGCCCGACCGCACAGACAACGCAACTGGTGGCCAGGGCACGCTCGAGCCTCCCCATGCAGCAGCCACCACTCTCACTGGGGCACGCGTGCTGGTGTTCTCACCGGAGCAGCAACACCAGCAACCTGCCTAGGAACTGCTCCCCAGCTTCAGCAGCTATGGAAATCCGCCTACTTCATCCTATCAACACTGCTAATCCACTTCGGAGAAAAAAAAAATCTGTCCTCAGCTAAGATGCAGCAGCTTCTTAAAGCATCTCTCAGTTGCCCCTGAAGGTATGCTCATTTTCTGCTTTGACACAAAGTCAAACAGACAGGTTTCAGGCAGTCCGGGAGCTGATATTACCTAAACTGTCCGACTTTGTACTGAAACAGATTGAGGAGTGCTCGCACGATGACTTAGAGTGAATTAGCTTGTAAAAAGCTATTGCTTATTACTTCTTACCTTTTAGTTATCAGTTCTCACTTTAGACACAATGCCTAACAATAGTCCTATAGACTGTACGCATGCTAACCCATGAAGTGCAGACGCAAATTTAGCATGTTAGCAAGCAAGCCCTTACTCAGCTTGGATAAAAAAAGCAAGTACTCTTTGACTGAATCTGAGAATATTTACTGAGAATATTATCTGAATGCTTTTCTTATTTAGATAAAGACGTCACCTCCCTTGCCTTCTAAAGATGTAAATTTCCTAAAAGTGTCATGTTTTATATACCTAAACCAGCTATGCCATTTACAAAGATAAAGAAAAAGTGAAAGAATGGCATCATTATGTCATCAGAAAAATATTCAAAATAAGAATTTTCTAAAAAAAAAAAAAAATTCATATCAGACTAATTCCATTCCTTTTGAAACTCATGGCAAAATAGCACTTTGGAAGTTGCCATACAAAACTTAGTAGGAGTTAGAACTATAAAGTCTTTTTCTAACAAAAAGATTTGTCTGCTTTAAAAGATACAGAAATTTCACATAACCAGTATTCTATATTCTTTACGGTTTGCATTTATTCAATCTCACATCATTTGACTAAGAAAAG